GGGGAAAAAAACATATGCAAAGGATTAAGAACTCAAATATAAGTGTTGATACATACACTCATGTTGCACAATAATTAAGGCAATGTTGATTTTCCACTGTAAAAAACATGATCAGTATTGTTTGTAGACGAAAGAAAATATTCCATTGTTTTTAATCCATCCCGTTTGTTTTGTAACTTTCGCTGTTTCTCTGTTCAGCATGAACAGCTTGTACCGTAAAGAAGTGTGCCAAAGCCCCGACCCCCCCGCGCCCAGCTTCGCTCCGAGTTTTGCTGCCGTGGCCGCAGGAGTAGACCGGAACATGGGTAAAGATATTCGTAGCAGATACATACTTTATGTTTTTTAAAGAAAAGCAAAGTCTTAGATAAACTTCTGTCTTCAACAAGTAAGATCTGTTACTTCTGCTTTCTAATAAAGGGTGGTTGTGTGCTCCCTCAGATCTGACAGGTCAGTATCTGCCTGAAGAGGCGTGGACCGCTCCGTCCATCCCCCTCACCAATGAGTTCAGATACAACACCACCGAAGCCCTGCCCTACATACCTCAGCCACCAACCTCCGCCTCATACAACGGGTAAGTGTTCCAGTGCAGGTTTGTTCAAATGAAGTCATCCATATTTTTATATTAACTATGGATGAAATGTAATGTTCTGTGAAAGAGGTCACTTTTTATGTCAAACAGCAGATAGACAATGTTTTTGAGAACTAATTAAACAAGTTTGGACCTTAAATAACTTGAAGAGCCAGTTGATTTCAAAAGGATTTGGATAAGACAAAAAAAGAGAGTGAAAAATACATGACTCCACATAAATGCCCGTGTCTGCCGGATGTGAAAAAAGGAACTTGATAAACATCACACTGTCATGTTAGATTTACAGTTGTCCACTTTTTGTGTGGTTCCTCTGCACCCAAAGTGTCAGAAAATAATCTGCTGCTGCGTTTTTAACATACTTCATATATTTATACTACTTCATATACTGTGTCTCTCTGATCTGTAATATATATGTACTCCTTATAAACCTCTGACTTAATGTATTCACCCGGGTACTTGCTTTTTACCAAAACTTAACCTTAAATAGTTTCTGACCAAATTAAAATGACTTTCGAATGTGTATCTTCTATTTAAAAACAACTGCTGCCAGGGTAATGTGTGTATGCATCTTTGCAACCTGAGCCCTGTATCTAAATGGCTAAAAAATGTCATTAATAAGATACTGTACAACTCTCCTGGCATGATAGCTGATACCGGTTTACACTTTGAATAATTACCCTCGTGTTGCTGCTGTAATGTGTCTTCGTACTATACTGTAAAGCACTTTGTACATCCGTGTTGAGAAGGGTGCTATATAAATAAAGTTTTACTTACTTACTTTGTGTTTAATCTGTCGCTGTTAAAGCCGTCCGTTTAAATGTTTCCTTTTTTCTGCAGGTTTACCTGGAGTAGTGCCAACAGCCAGTGCAACAGTCCCTACACCTACTGTGAGGAAAGGAAATACATAGGTACAAATCATGACATGCCGTTTCCTATTCATTAATCAAGCTATGTATTTGTACCACACAGTTCTTTATTTTTTTTTCATTAAATAAAACATCGACTCTGCTTAACTTAGGTTTCTCTCTATTGAAATAGTGTTTGTTCTAATCATCTCGTAGGTAATGGAACATTTCCAAGTGGTTATCCCGGTCAGGAGGTCCAGCATGCACACAGCAACCAGAGCAGCTGGAGTGAGGAGCCGCCGCAGGAGTCGCCCTCAGCCTGGGACACAGCAGCCTGTGTGGGCAGCAAGGTGAGGAGGCACGGTGCTCAAAGACTTTAAATCCAGCTGCTCTCCTGCTGCAGCTGGATCCTGTTAGTCATATTCAGGGAGGGTTCATTTAGGTTTGGGAGCAGGTCTGCAACTAACGAGTCCCACTATCAACTAATCCACAGATTATATTAATGATATTTATAAAAAGCCAGAAAACAGTGAAAAAGGCTTCCCTAGAGCTCAATGTGATATCTTCAATGGTCTGGTTTTGTTTTGATATTAAGTTGATTCATAACAGAGAGTTTGTAGTATAAAGACCAGCTCAACCTGCTAAAGTTGGCTATTCTAGTGTTCACATGTTCAGTTTAGTATCATGTGACACGACATTAAACTGACCGTGAGGAATTTGAGTTCTTAGTTACTTCGGATGCGTCTGTGCTGTGATTACAGTGTATGGCATTCCCACATGCATTGACACAACCGCACTTTTTTATTGTTGCATTATGAGAGTTACAGAAAAATGTACTTGTGAAAATTGAGAAAGTACACACAACGCATGAATTAGTCCAATCAGACAGCTTGTTGCTGCCTAAAGTACTGAGATGGTCAATATTATTTGTACCTGCCACCCCACCCCTGTGCACTGAGTGTGAACATGTATACAGCCAGATTAAATGCAAAACAGGATAATTGTGTGTACATGAAAATAGCAAAGACAGAGGAAGTTCTCATCTCTTTTAACTAATCTGCTGAAGTTGCCGAGCAGAATGAGGAACTGGAGTTTTGAGCACTTTTACCAGAATGTGTGTTTTTCAGCACATATACACAAATAGATTCAAACGCATAAATACAAACTGCAAATGCAGCTTCTGTTTTATTTATTTTAATAGCCCACATTTGTGGAAGTTGATTTTACTTCCCCAAGAAAGGCAGGTATCAGATACTTTTAATTTGTTTACTCTCAACCGCTGTTCTCAAAAGTTCTACCTCAAAATACCAGTATCCGTCTGGCTGAATGCTTAAGGTAATCGTTGAAGGGAAACTGTGTTATGACATTTAATAAAACTAAAACTATGATTAGTGAGTACTTAAAACTACACACACTAAAGTGGCACTTGCCCAAGAGAATGCATTTCAATCGCAAATGTTTCAAGCATTTTGCATCTACTTGTGCTCGATTTCTGTGCTCTTGCATGTTTGAGTCAGGTTACTGTAAGAAAAACCTACAGCAGTAAGTCATGGCTTTACTGGCTCTTATTTATTAAAAAATATATCTTATTTATATTGTATTTTTATATTTTGAGAGTGCGACATGTAGAAGTGGTCAGGGAAGTCAAAGCTCTTCAGCTGGTATCAAACAATGGACATTGCCTTTACATGGCATATGACATAACCACCATCACCAAAAGATGAGCATTTTTGGTGATGATGGAGGGAAACCAGAGCGAGAAGGTCATTTAATTTGAGCCGAAAAGGAGAGACTAGATTAAAATGTAGGGAAACGACAGCCAGGTCATCACTGCAGGGATCAGACAGCCGGTGGTAGCAGAGCACAGAGACAGGTGAGGTTAGAAAAGGTCATAGGCGTATAATACTTTGATACAGCTTTGGACGGCACATAAAGTGGCAACAATATCTCAGAAAAAGTGTCTCAACAAATAATAATCACCTCTCTTTCTCTTCGCAGCCATACTTCTCGGGAACCCGCAGCCTCTCCCCCATGTCCAGCCTGTTTGGATCCATCTGGACGCCTCAAAGCGAGCCTTATCAGAGCGAGCCTTATCAGAGCCACTTCCACCCTGAGCGCTCAGCCCCGATGTCCCCCGTGTCCCCCGTGTCCCCCATCACCCCGCCTCACTCCCCCTTCACCCGGGAGCCAGAGGTGACCTGCGCACCGATGCTGTACTCCAGCTTCAACCCCTTCGGCCCACACATGAACCTGGACATATGGAACTCTTCCTCCAACCGCAGCTCCAACTCACAACTCTCCAACGACTCTGGCTACTGTGGAGATGTTTAAAAAAAAAAAACAGAAAGCGGCACACCTTAACAATAATTGCAAGCATATAAAAACATGTTATGTAAAAGAAAGGAAATAAAAATGAATGTTCTTTTATCATTAATGGGGAAAATGTGAATATTCCTTCTCTTTTATGTTCCCATTTTCAAATGTTAAATGTTGTGAAAGGTTAAGCATTTGTTGTATATTTTTCTAGATGTTTTTGCAGTTTTGATCATAGAAAATAAAAAAAGGTTTTGTACTTGAAAAACAGCATTTTACTTTAGCTAGAAAATCTAGTATTTACCTTATCTGACTCCCTTCGTCTCTCTGTTTTGGCTGCACTCTTTGACGATGTCAATCACCTACCAGAGGCCATAAGTCTGTGCGTCATCATTTACTTTGCAAAGGTCAAGGGAACGAAGACGACGCTGCCCTCTAAGGTGTCCAATGGGAGAAAACATACTAGAAAACCTTCTTCTTGCTGGTGCCCAATGGCATGCAGCTGGTCCATTTATTTATTAGTATTTTGGCTGCCCCTCCAACGGCAATGGTTGTCTGTATGTGTGTATATATATCATACAGTCTATGGTGTACACATATATAAATATTAACTTTTTTTTATGAAAGAATAAAGTCAGAAAAGTAACAGACTCATACCAGGCTAAAGGTATCTGCAAGTTTGATCTGCAGATACCTTTAGTTCCTTCCTTTTAGGTAAGGAAAGAGCTAAAACAATGTATCCTGTTCTTGACTAACAGAGAGCTCCATTGTGGTTCAAGGTGCAAAAAAAGAAAATCGGGAAAATGCAATTCATCAGTCGTCTTTACCCGTTTGGGCAGCGTGACAGGGAGCTAAAGCTCTGCCAAGAAACGGATGTTTATATTCCTGTCACTCACTCTACTTCCTAATGTGTCCGGCTGCACGAGGGGGGGGGGGGGGGTGTGTAGAGAAGTGATGCTGAAACGTATAAAAAGCAAACATTTTTCTCTAATGCCCCAATTGTGCTGAAGAAGAAGAGATTTCAGCTGTGAGACTCCAGGACTCATCAAGGTATTTTTAATTTATAAGCAGAATTTATTCATATTTTATGATGTGGTAGATCATAAATTAATATTTAAAAATGCTATCACAAATACATTGGTTCGATTTGTTTAAATCAGACATGTACATGGAAAATAATGTTTGCTATTCTCAATTTTGAAACGTCATAAATATATATAAATAGTTTGGAGACAGAAACAAAAATGTTCTTTTCAATGTTATAGTTTCTTAATTGGTTTTATTTCAGGACAGAAATGTTTTTATTTCGCAGAGTTTCTCCGTGTTCTAATTATCCAAACTACCCTTGGGAAGATAGTCATTTTATACGTATTTTCTATGTTATAGTAATCTCAGATGATGTCAGAGTGATAAATATAACCTGTGTTATAATGTTTAGCTTCAGCTAACGATATTGTTAAAAAAAAAGAATCACAGATTGTTTTGCCCAACAGTTTGCAATTAAAGGTCTGATGGTTGTTTTTAAATGTTTTTGTTTTTAGGTACCAATATGAGATTCATGACATTTCTCATGTGTGTCCTTCTGCTGATGCATCAAAGCATCCCTCTCTCCAGACCACAGTGTCACAGCTGTGAACAAACGTCCTGTAAATGCTCGAGACAAAACCTGACAACGGTCCCCGCAGCCCCCTCGAAGCTCATCACTGGACTCGATCTCTCATTCAACAGACTGCAGACAATAACAAAGGATGACTTTGTTGCATTTGCCAGTTTACAGTCTTTGATCCTGAATAACAACAGAATCCATAAGATCCAGGAGCAAGCATTTGTCCCGCTGACTGATTTACAGAAATTAGACTTGTCTTTCAACAGACTGGATTCACTGTCTGCTGGATGGTTTGAAAGTCTTGCTTCTCTTCAGAGCTTGAATCTGTTGGGGAACAAATACAAAATGTTGGGTCGAGGCAATCTTTTCCAGCCACTGAAGAAATTAAAGATCCTACATATTGGAGGACCGGACCTTCAATCTGTCGGGAACAGTGACTTTTCTGGCCTCAGTGATGTTGAAGAGGTGGTTTTTGATGGAAACAATCTGCTAAGCTACACAAAAGGAAGTTTGAGACAAATTGGGCCAATTAAATATGTGAGCCTTGGTCTGAATGGCCCGTTTTCAAGAAATCTCACACTAGTAAGAGATATACTGTCTGATGTTGCACACCCTGACACAACCCTGACTTTTACTGACACATGGTTTTCCACAACTGAGCAAATATCCCCATTTAAATTGTTCTACGATAGCGGAACCACAAGTATTGTTTTTAAAAATGATACCATGACGTTTGCACCATTTTTAGCATTATTAAATAGTCTGTCCTACTCTAATGTAACTATGATGGCACTTGAAGATTCTAAATTATTAAGTCATGCTGTGGAGGAGGTGTTATCTCCCCCACAAATTAAAAGTTTTGAGGTAGTTGTCTTGAAAAACGTTGATATCCCTGAGTTTTACAGCATCCCTACCCGCTTTCTCCTGAACACGGTGAAAGCGGGGCGAAGGTTGTCTGTGATAAACTGCAAGTTGTTTCTCATTCCTTGTACATACTCTGCTTTTCTGTTAGTGCTGGAGTATTTGGACGTCAGTGACAACCTGTTAAGTGATATAGCTCTTAGTCAAATGATGTGCGATGGCAATGGTGGGTATAGGAGACTGCAAACGCTCAATATCAGCAGGAATCACCTGCAGTCAATCAACAGTCAGCTTTTCACCAAACTGGAGAGACTTAAAAACATTGACATGAGTGGAAATACATTCCAGGCTATGCCTGAGACTTGTTACTGGCCGTTAAATCTCCAATTCTTAAACCTTTCATCAACACATTTAACAAAAGTGACCCCTTGTTTGCCATTAAGTTTACACATCCTCGATCTATCAGACAATGACTTGACTGTCTTCAATATGAAACTACCATTTCTAACAGAGTTATACATTTCTAGCAACAAGATCAGTAGTTTGCCAGATGGGCGTTTATACCCTCTTCTCGCATTTCTCTCCATTCGGAACAACAATTTACAGACGTTCAGCAGCAAAAATCTAAATGATTACAATAATCTGAGCAGTCTGGAGGCTGGTACTAACACGTATGTCTGTTCATGTGACTTTTTAGACTTAATGAGGAGTGGCTTGACAAATCATCAAGTCACATTTGTTGATGGGTTAAAGTCGTACGTCTGTGACTCCCCTGACGCTGTGAGGGGAAAGATTGCGGCGGATGCGAGGTTGTCAGTCTTTGAATGCCACACAGCTTTAGCTTCTTCTCTACTCTGCTCAGGCATCCTGTTGTTCTTTCTGCTCGTTGTTGGCTTGTGTCACAAATTCAGCGTTGTGTGGTACATGAGGATGACCTGGGCCTGGCTGAGAGCCAAGAGGAAGCCAAAGTTAAAAAAGGGAGAGCTTGAGTATGACGCCTTTGTGTCCTACAGTGAAATGGACTCTGGCTGGGTGGAGGCACATCTGGTCCCGGAGCTGGAGCAGGTGGAGCCTCGTCTCCGGCTCTGCCTCCACAAGAGAGACTTTGTTCCTGGAGGCTGGATCTTGGACAACATCATGGATGCTATCGAGAAAAGTCACAGAACTCTGTTTGTCCTCTCTCAGAACTTCATCAGGAGTGAATGGTGCAAGTACGAGCTGGATTACACCCATTTTAGATTGTTTGACCACAACGATGACACAGTGGTGCTGATTCTGTTGGAGCCCATTGACAAAGAGACCGTCCCCAAAAAGTTCTGCAAGCTGCGGAGAGTCATGAACTCCAGGACGTACCTGGAGTGGCCTGAGGATCACGATCAGATCCCCAGGTTCTGGCACAGCTTGAGAACAGCGATCAAAAAACCTGAGACTGTTAATGGGAACGTTGTACAGTTTGACAATGTGGAATTAATTTAGGGTTTTGCTTTTTTTTGTTGCTTTTTTACACTGTAACTTTTGAAAGCCTTTATAGTTTGATAAATGTAACAAAGTATAAGTTTGTAATGTCTCAATAAAATATCTGTGTTTATGATTTGTGCCTCCTCATTATTTACAATATCAAAGCCACATCCAGGCACAGTGAATTAACTAAGTATGCATTCCCAATCGTCTCAGAGGGAATTGATAATCATTTATGCCATATATATTTTCAAAGTATGTACAAACTTTTAAAATATCTTAAATATATGCGTGTTTCTTACATTTGTAAAACAGCGCTGTTACAACCTTTTTGGTAGACAAATATCGATGACAAAACAACCGGTGATGTACTCGATAGCTAAAGGGCGATTGACTGAGTTTTTGAACCAATTATAATTGGTTCAAAAAGGAATATATATAATAAAAATATATATATATTTGACTTAGTCATATACTTTTGAATTATTATTTCATTATGATTAATTTTACAGACACGTGTGTTTATGTGAGAGAGAGAGAGAGTGTGTGTGTGTGTATGTGTGTTCATGTTCTTGTGTGCCTAAAAGCGTGTGTAATTCATTGTCAGGCTCTTGAGAGCTGACATATTGCCGCTATTGATCTTTAGTTCTAAAATCAACACAGAAGCCTGGATACTGATGACAGGCAGGCCAGGGGAGTTAGGGTGTCCAGATAACACACACACACACATTAATGCTCAATATACACATATAAACAGAAGCACATACACATATTTGCAGAGTTACAGATGTCTGCAAGGGTCAGTAAAATCTGGTGTACAGGACTTAATCAGTGAAACTTAAAATCATCAAATCCTTGCTTTCATGATTGACACGTCATGCACCTGCATGTTATTCATAACGTTTCTTTATTTTGTGTTATCTACTTTAAGTAAACTGACTATTTTTTCAAGTTTGCTGTTACTTTAAAGCTAGATTAAAGGGAAAAGCCACGTCATGATTTTTGGGATATCATTTAAGATAATTCTCTATGCTCTTTATTAACCGAATCAACAATGATTTGGTCCTTTCTATTTAGTGTTTGCATGTTTAAAATCCTGATACTGTGTTCCATAGCTCTATATATGCCCTAAAGCTTAAAGCACATCAATGAGCCACTCTGTTGCACTTAGTTACTGTCGTGTATGTAGTGATTGGATCCCACATATACTGCCGTGCTGGATTAAATATTTACAGGAGCCCCACATTTGTGTAACACCCATTGCTGAAATGAGTCCCAAACAAATGCCCTGTGTATCCCTGATTAATATTGTTAAAAATGTTGTTGACTGGTTGGGGAAAAGATGATATTAAGAGATGGACCAACAACAAAATAATTATGACAATAATACAAACCTAACCATGTAACCTTCTCTATAGATTGAAGTAAATGTATTTAAGCAGCTTTACAATGCAAGGTGCAAATCTGCTCATCCGTAGCAGTTTGTTGCTCGAGAGCACTTTTTACAACCTGAACTAAAAGCACCTGCGTCTGTGCTCCAAAGTTTGTATTCAGTAAGCCGGCCAATAGCCTCGGGTAACACTTATGGTGAATCTGTCTACAATAATAATTTTGAAGACAAGGATTGGCAGTTTGGGAGGTTGACTGTTGTGACTTTTATGTCATGTGCTCTTTTCACAGAACATTATAGTGCGTCATGTTCTGAGGATAGCAGAGCAGGCTGAACTCTATCCATTTCCTGATGTCCGTTCAGAGTGTTACCCTTTAAAAGTCAAAACAGCATATGATTTGATTTCATGCTCTTTTATCCTTTAACTAGCCTGATAACAGGGACGGAAAAAAGCAATGATGTGTGTGTGTATGTGTATAAATACTCTCCATCATCCCCTAGCAGAGGATCCATTAGCCTTGGACCCCCTCCCCGGTTGCCCAGTGATAAAGTAAACAATGTGTGTTTGGCCAATCCGGCATGCAAATATTTGTTCTGAAAGCTGCCTCATCAGACTGCAGACACACACGTCTGCAGCCGCGTGCTGAGGTATATATAAAGTGATGATTCTGACAGTCCAGTATTTCATATGCACACACACCTTCAGAAAAGAGGATCCCTCAACAGACCTTTCCTCTGACTTCAACTAATATTCACCTGAACCTCGCAGCTAAGGTAATAAAACATTTACTTTTACATTTAACTTTGAATTCTCAAAATATCAAGAAACTGCTTTTCTATTTGATTCTAACTTGTTTCCTCCTCTGTAACTATCTCTCCAGTGTTAACAAGACAACATGGCGGCTGGCGTCATCAGAAACTTCCTCCTTCAGGCCCCGATTCCATCTTACTTTCCTCTGATTTTCCAGCACTCTCCATGTACGGAAGATGAAGATGTGGAGATGCTGGAGGAAAAGCCAGAGTTGAGGGAAGATGAGGAGGAAAGAGAGATGGAGGAGGAGGATGAAGAGGACGAAGATGAAGAATCTGAAGCTCAGGAGGAAGAGGAGGAATGTTTGGAGGAGGTTTTCTTGAATCCTGCCTACTTCTCTTTGGATGTGACCAAGCAGCTGCTCAGGTTTGCAGATCTCATCAGCCGGGACGTCCAGCGGTACTTCGGTCGCTGCTCAGGTGATCAGGAAGCTTGTGACATCTACAGCGACTCGGTGTCCGTGAAAACCAGCGGTCGTCTGCGTTACTATGACGACCTGCTGAAAATTGCAAGAGCTGGAAGTCCAGAGGAGCCAGAGAACAGCTTGAAGACTTGTGCTGAGGATCGAGGAGACAGGGTTGCTAAGGGCAGCGGTCTGGGGCCCCTGGCTGAACTGTTCAAGCACAAGGGCCCGAGTCAGGTCCGCTGCAGACCCATGGTCCAGAGACATCTCCCTCTCAGTTTCTGGACCGAGCCGAGCCCTTGCTGCTCTCTGGTCAGTTTCACTAACTCACCTGACCTGACGCACACAAACAGTGACACACATTCACAGGACAACACAGATGATAACACACACATGCAATACGACCCGCTCACACACCACAACACACACACCCTCGACAGCACGCAGCTGGACTTCAGCGACCTGCTGGCCAACTGGGATGCCAACCCGGAGCTCACACACACACTGACAGAGAACACACACACACTGACAGAGAACACACACATGCAGCATTGAACACAACAGCCTGCTGGGACTGAAAACAACTCTATTTATGTTCATTTCAACTTTGATATTTACTTGTAAAATGTTTAATAAAAAAAAAAAAATCAATATGTGTTGTGCGCATTATATCTTATATTTATGTGTTTGAAAATCAAATGAAATCAAATCAAGTTTTATTTATATAGCACATTTATAAACGATTTTTGGTCGAGCCAAAGTGCTGTACATAAAATTAAAATAACCTACAGTAGAGACACTTTGCAGCAAATACAACAACACAGATTGTTCAGAATATCAGTATGAGAAAAACGACACCCTCTCTCCTTAGACCCTCACATCGTACAAGGAAAAACTTCCAGAGAAAAACCCACAGTTTAAGGGGAAAAAATGGGAGAAACCTCAGGGAGAGCAACAGAGGAGGGATCCCTCTCCCAGGACGGACAGACGTGCAATAGATGCCGTGTGTAAATCGAAGAGATAATACATTTTACAGCATATAGACCGAATGTTAGGAAATGCATGTGTCTGTAATAAGAAGATGAATCCAAAAAATGTGCCATATTAGGTAAATGGTTATGATTAGTCCCACAAATGTCAAGTTGCTTAAAATATGTCCAAAGCAAGGGGGACCAGACACATCTGCAGGAGCAAATAAAACATGAGCTTGCAAAATGTTCTGGTTTCCAGGCAAGGATATTGTTTCTAAAAAGAAAATCTATCGCTCTACAGCCAAGCCCACTTATTTACTTTATCATAGATCATATTTCCTCCTGTTTGTAATGCTAAATCTAATTTCTTGCAATTTCTTTCTTACTTTTATTAATTTGTCGTCCTTGTTGACCCTCTAGAGCAGGGGTGGGGAACCTTTTTCCTCTCAAGGGCCATTTCAATGTTTTCAACATCCTCCGGGGGCCGTACAAATTATTGACCTCTGCTTAGAAATACTAAAATCACAGCCCATTCATTTCAACTTTCTTTCATGCTGTGCAAAGAAAAAGCAACCTCTTAATCCAGATATCTCACCATGACTCACGCATGCACGTGCACGGTGTGGCATGACCACCAAAACAGAAAGATATGGACACAAGATGTGTGCCAATGTATTGAGTTTCCTATCCATGTGGACATGATTTAAGTGGGGGGGGGGGGGGGGCCTCACCTCCTCTCGGAGGTTTGGGGGCATGTTCCCCCGGGAAGATTTGTTTTTAAATGTTGAAGTTAAAAGCATCAATCTGGTGCACTTTGAGAGCAACATTAGGAGCTCTATGGATACATCTCTCAACACCCATTTGAAACAGAACTGTAAGCAGATTTTATTTTTCTTTATGGATATTTTACAAATCACTCCCCTTTCAAACTGTGTTCTTGTTTATTAATAACAACTTGTTGTTACCGTCATATAGTATTGTATACCTGTTTACTTTATTCTCTTGTTTTTGTATAACTATAATGATCATATAAAGGTGTGCCTTTACCTCACTGGTTGGAGAAAAAGCTTCTTATATTCGTTAGCATAGCTAGCTAACCAGATGCTAATAACAACAAAGTTATTGACTGTATGATCAGTATGACAGATGAGCAGATCGCCACTGGGCTTTCAACTAAAGACACAGCCACGCAAAAACTGCGGCATGTGTACGGCTCCTTATGAGTAGGCCTACTGCAGTTTCTGAAGTGCCGTCTGCGTTCTGGTGCTCTCCGCCAGAACTGCACCCCTATCCAGCGCCCCTATTCAGACGAGACATAAGAGGCTTCTCAATACTCAAATGTCCCCTCCTCGGTCCTCGGTCCTCCGGTAGTGACCCGGAAATGAATTTGATGTGTGAAATGTATGTAAATGACATGTCATCAGCAGTGCTGGAATTGGGCCGGTACTCACCGGTACGCAGTACCGGCACTTCTGGTTCTGACCCATGGAGTACCGGCACTTCTTGATCAGTACCGGCATGCTGGCGGTACTCCGGTACTCATGCACCGTGCCAGTACTCAACACTCTCCCGCCGTTCTTATTATACATCCATATATATATATACAGCCGCCCGGTACTCAGTAGATGCGTCATGAGGTGCCGAACGGACATTCTCATCGCTCTAACCGCTGGAGTTTCACAGCGGCTGTCAGCTGTTTACTCCTGTCATTCAAACAGAACGTGCTGGAGAGGGGGCGGGGCTTATCTTCTCCATGTAAATACTGTGGTGGAAACGACTATGTCAAAATTAACCTATTTGACCGTGATTTGATAGTAATACACGTTTCAAAATAATAATAATAATAATAATAATAATAATGCCGAAGTAACAACATACTGAAAACTGTTAGTAAAACCATGTTTTAATGCTTTACAATTTACATACCTAGATGCACGTGTGTTGTGTTTATGCAGTGCAACTCCCACCCAGTGGGTGGCTATGTAGAGTGATAGAACAGAGCAGGCACGCCCCCGAGAGAAGGAAAGCAAGTCACGTCACAAATTAGCATTTCTAAAATGTTAGCGTGGATTAATAAAAGTGCAAAAAGACAGCGGTTGTCGCCGGAAGAAACTTCAAATACAGAGAATGCTGTGCCTGTGTTGGAAATTGTGTCTGATGGGGAGCTTTCTTTGGTTGATCCTCCTGCTCCAAGTTCTAGTGCATTAGCATTAGCACTAGCTCCGCCGCCTCCTCCAGAGCCTCTAACGTTAGCTGCTGCTGGCGCAACTGCCACCACCAACACCGGGCAAAGCGATGCACCTGACTGCTGGACAACGGACCAGGTGCAATATTTTTTTGCAAGACCAATGCATGGCTCCTTCTTAAAGATAAGAAGCTAGGATGTCGGATATGCAGAGATGTCAAATCTTTGGGAATACACACTGGACAAGGACTGAAACTGTCAACTGAATGGGGTGAGTGTGCAGTGTCTCATTTCGGTGTTGACAAGGGCAAACAACAAGCTAGCCTGAGAAAAAAAATCAAAGAACATAAAGAATCACAAGCCCATGTAAAAGCTGCTGACATCCTTACATCTGCTTCACGTGAAACTATTCAACATCAAGTGCAGTCTATGCATAAATCTGAATTAGACACCACTATCAGAGTTTTTCGAACGGCATATAAAATTGGCAAACATAGCCGGCCATTCACAGACATGCCAATTGATTTGAATGTACAGAAACTGAATGGGCTGAACGTGGGCAGGGTTTTGCACTCCAATAAAACCTGTGGCGAAATCATCGACCACATAGCTCATGAGCTGAAGAAAAAAAGGGCAAAAGACATTACAGAAAACCAAAGAAAACTCTGTGTTTTGGTCGATGAATCTACCACTATTAGTGGTAAAACGGTGCTTGTTGTGTGTCTACGCTCAGCATTAGCTGATGCTGAGCCCGAAACGTTTTTCTGGGAGCTGATCGAGTTGGATGGAACAACGGCTGATGACATCACAAAGGCGTTAATGGAGTGTCTTGGAAGAGATTTTAACGAGGACTTTTTAGGTCAGTGTTTCGTTTCTTTTGCATGTGATGGGGCTTCAGTCATGCTAGGGAAGAGAACAGGCGTTGCTACCCAGTTGTGTAGTAAATTCCCAAGCCTGTTTGTGTGGCACTGCTCCAATCATCGTCTAGAGCTGGCAGTTGGGGATGTGGTCAAGGAGGTCTCAGGGCTCAATCATTTCCAGATCTTTTTTGACAAACTCTATTCCTTGTTCCATGCCTCCCCCAAAAATCAGAGGCAGTTAGCGCAGTGTGCGCAAGCAGTCGGACAGCGTCTCCTGGTGATAGGGCGTGTTTTGTCCATCCGCTGGGTGGCTTCAAGTGAAAGGAGCGTCAGAGCAGTCTGGGAAAACTACCGAGTGCTTCATGATCACTTCACAAATGCTGCAAACGACACGAGCAGGGATTCCAGAGACAGAGCAAAGTACAAGGGCCTGGATGATGTGCTCACATCTGCAACGTTTGTCAGCAATCTGGGACTGATGTACGATGCGCTCACAGAGCTCAGCGACCTCTCTCGGCAACTCCAAAAAAGAGAGATGTCACTGCCTACAGCAGATAGGCTCTTAACTTGAGAAATACGAGTTTTTGAATCCATGGTCACCATGCCTGGCCCACACATGACTACAGTTCATACAGCTCTAGCTGAGAAGTCCTTCAAGGGTGTTGCCCTGCGTGAGAATGGCAGGCTTGTACAGATTCATGCAGGTCAGTTTTTCCGTAGTATGGTAGAGAATCTGAGACACAGAATGACTTCCACAACCTCCTCTCATGTCAGCACAAGAGAAATCTCATTACATGGCCGGGAGGCCCGGGACAATCAGCTAATCCAGGACATGAAAGTTATCCATCCTGGAAGTTGGCCTGAAGAGGAGTTAGACGTACAGTATGGGGACATAGAGGTGCTACGTTTGTGCGAAGTGCTGAAAGTGGACAGAAGAGAGACTGTTCAGGGCTTTCGCGAATACAAGTAAACCAGGGCATCCCGTACACCTGCTGCCATGGAGCCTCTACTGAAAGCAGTCCGAACCATCGCTGTCTCCACTAGTGAGTGTGAGCGGGCATTCAGCTGCATGAACGATATCCTTACTGCAAAAAGGAATGCTCTCTCTGTCAGCCGACTGTCCAGCCTGGTTTTCATTAAATGTAATGGACCATCACTAGGACAGTTCAATCCGGAACAGTATGTGAGGTCCTGGCTGGCAAAGGGAAGGAGAAGTGCTGATGAAAGAGCCTGTCCAGCTCCAGCCCCTGATACTGATGTCCCCAAGGCCTTCTGGAGCCTTTTCTAACAATGTGAAGTATATTGCAAAGCAGCTCACCCAGTGAGAAGACTTTTGGCATAATGTGCCGATTTGTACAGATCCTGGAGATAGAAGGACTTCAGACCAACCAGGGAGTTATCTGATCAGCTTGGTGTTCAATGTAACTCTTTACCATGGCTCAGACTTTGTTACTTGCAGTTACAGTTTCTCATTTTAGATTGTGCAAATTTTGCATTTGTTTTTACATGTTCTTTGTTCATGCTCTTTATCATTTTTCTGAGTTGGAAAGTTAGATTGCATCATAGTTTACTTTATACATATTTGTATTCTTCAGTGGTGAAGTATATTGCAAAGCAGCTCAGCCATGTGAGAAGACTTTTGGCACTTTTTCGTTTTTCGTTTTCTGAGTTGGAAAGTTAGATTGCATTCAAAATGTACAGAAATACTTAATTTTGTTAAAGCTTTTTATAAAAAATGCTTCTGACCAGAGCTTTGTTTCCTTGTCATTAATGTTGAACACCACCAGAGGGGCTCTCACCTGAAAGGTCTCTGCTTCATGTGTCTTCAGCAGAAGATCTAGACTTTAATTGCTATATTTTCAGTTAATATTGACCTTACTGAGCTTTAGCCATATCCGCTGCCTATCATAAAAAATGTTAAGTACAGTGAACCTTTCTAAAATATACAGTAGTAAAGAGACAAACCCACCAGCATTATAGTAGCCACATTCTTGTTTGTGGGCTGTATATATAAAATTGACTTGAAAAAGTTGCTGATTTTAGAGTACTGGCACCTTTTTCATTCCAATTCAAGCACTGGTCATCAGCATGTGACTGCAACTTGTTCCTGTTCGCGGACGACTCAGCCCTGCTGGTCTCTGACAGGAACAGGTTGCAGGTTGAAAAAACCCTCAGCTCCGAGCTCGGCAGAATCTGCACCTGGCTCGCCGATAATAAATTATCATTACACCTGGGTAAAACAGAGTCCATTCTCTTCGGTTCGAAACATAATCTCAGCAAATCCGACGACTTCTCAGTTGCAGTGGGTGACATTATTGTCACAAGTAAGAAGGAAATTACATACCTAGGATCTATTCTTGAGGCAAACCTCTCCTGTGACAAAATGGCATCCAATGTAATAAAAAAAGTCAATCAAAGAACTAGATTCCTATACCGGATCTCCTCTCTGGTAAACAAAAACACCCTGAAAACTCTGGCAGGAGCACTCATTCAAGGGTACTATGACTATGCTTGCACGTCATGGTACCATAGCACCTCCAAGGCGCTAAAAATAAAACTTCAAACATCGCAAAATAAACTGGTCAGACTACTGCTTGACCTTTCATCTAGAACCCTCACCTCTGCCCACTTTGACAACCTAGGATGGCTTAGAGTAGACGACAGAGTACAGCTACTTGCAATGGGCCTGGTCTACAAGATCCACTACACCTCTATGGTACCCATGTACATGTCAAGATTCTTCCCAAAGGTCAAGGAATACCATGATCATAACACCAGAGGGAGCTCCACAAATCATGTGAAACCCAGATTTGGCACACAAAAGGGGGAATACACGTTTCGCAATTATGCCACATCAAGGTGGAACGCTCTTCCCACAACTGTAAAGGAAAGTAAAACTATACTTACCTTCAAAACCTCTCTTAAAGAGCACCTTCGGGGGAGAGCATTGCAAAACTGGCCCCGGTAATGGTACAAATCTCAACCTGTCGTTCAATGGACAGCTTCCCCCCCCCCCCCCCCCCCCATCTATGTATATACTCGCATTTTAGACTCTGTTACTAACTGTATATCTGTAGACTTGGTATGTCTTAAATGTCCGGTTAGGATGTATTAGAACGAAATCTAAAATGAAAATTGTAAACAAGCAATCTGTATGTAAAAAAACCACCTGTATGTAAATTGTAAATAAGCCATCTGTATGTCAAATATGTCTATATGTCTTAAATGACATGATGAATTGGAAATGGGGGACCCTGATGTAAACAAGACGAAA